TATATATATATAAACAGAAGAGGGAAACAGAAACTTATTTACTAGACCCATGGTACCATATAACATCAAAATGTCAAATATATATATATATATATATATATATATTAGTACTCTTTCTTTATAAAAAATAGATTGGTCCTCTAAATAAATGACGGCAACTATGGCAAAAAAAAAAATGGTACTCTTTGATGAAAAGTAACGATGCCAAAATAGATTGGTCATACAAAATCTATGATTATTTGCAGCACTTAGTGACGACAACTTCTAGCCTCCACATTATCAATTTTATAGTTGGTGTTTAAAAGAAAATTCACAGTTTGGAAGGCTTTTTGCTTAAAAGATATTGAAAGTAGACTGCAATTTTAAGTAGAGATTTAAAGACTCCCGACGTTGCCATGCGGTCAACTACGTCAGTTCAAAATTTGCTACTTCCTCAACTACTGCTTAAGAGGGATCATCCGCATTAACTACGGTTGTAAAAAGAATCGACCAACTAAAGTCGTCGTGTCGCATCACAGCGCAAAGATGAGTTTTTTTTATGAGCTTTTTTATTTTTTATAAGAGGTAATAAAAAGTTTCAAAAGGTAATCTAACCCATTTATAACTGATCAAATGCAGAAAAGAAAAAAAAAGGAATCAAATGCCGAGTCATATAAACGAACTTTCACGTAGTAGAAGTGGCAATTGCCACCGAACAGAGATGTGTTCTGCGACAGATTTATAAGCAATAAAATGATTCAAATATTTTTTATAATGAAACAATTCATGCCGCAACCCAAAATGCAAAAAACCTATGCATTTTCCTGATTTCAGACCCAAACATAACCCATCCTTTTCTTCTAAAAACATAGAAAAACCTGTACGTACCATGAAATTTGAAATAAACATAGAAAAACCTAATTGTGCCAAAGGTCACGTGGTGGCATTTTTTTTTTTTTTTTTTGCAATGTTAGCATAGACATCAATTCACTGTTACTAAGAAAACAAGTTAGAAGTCAAGACGGAACAGGGCTTTCCAATTATTGGTCTGTGTTTCAGAACATAAACAGAAGGATCGTGCTTTTACAGTGCACAAGCATATATAACGAGAGAGAGAGAGAGAGGGAGACAAGAACAGGTATATAATAGCAACATTCTATAAAGCTTTGGATTTATGGTTCTTTTCAGAACATAAACAAAGGATAGAGGGAACAAATTATGAACAATATTATATCAATGATATATAGTAATATCCACCCACATGTTGCTTCATATATATGCAACTCCATATAACTTTTAGCAGATTAACCAAGCCAACCAGCTTTGACAGCTCCCAACTGATTATAATTAGTAAGGTCACAACTCCTGATTTCATTCAGATTATCCCAATTTCCTGCTGGTTTCTAACCATTTGGAGTCAATCAGCTTTTTTTCTCATCAATTTTCAATATCCTCAAAAAAGACCAACTGGATCATCCAATTCAACCAATCTAGAAACTATATCCTCCAGCCAATCCAAAATCTGAATCTGTGACCCTTTTAACCAAAAGATGCTTCAAATGTCCACACTAGGAACGTGGAAGATATCCTCAAGAAAGCTCCTTTTCTTTTCCCAAAATGTCAATGATAAGAGTCCACACCCATGGAGTTGTGAGCATGGCTGCCTTCTGCTCACCACTCTACTCATCCACTTTCACCATAAGCTCCACTACAACAAATGCGAGCAATCTAAACTTAGTTAATAGTTTCAAAATACTACGTTTTAGTAATGTTTAGGAAAGTACTTTTCTTCTTCCGAGAGCGAAACAAACTTAATCCATTTAGTTCCGACAGGCACAAGTGATCACACATGAAATTAGCCTAATGATGACCAAACAGCTTAAATCCATGCATTGCACAAGGCACAGCTAATCGTATCACCGTTATCCCTCAGTTTGAAGTTTCAGAACTTGTATCATTCTGGGTTAAAATATGCATTCATATACTACCAATGCCTCTCCCTCCCTCTAATACAGTTTTTCATGACACCACTTCACAGAATCTCATACAAAGACTTTTAAGAACTACTCACCACATAGTGTCGTTAATAACAGATAAATCTATATTTTCTGTAGGCATATCGATAAGAGAAACGAAGGAAACATGCATTCCATATCCAATTAAGTAATAGCTCAATGCCAAGTCATAACACTCGTAAGCAAACAGCACATTTAGCTATCGTAGATAAAGATTATAAAGAATAAAAGCTTTTGGTCAAACACAAGTGAGCTTAGATCCCCAGCATAAAATCTGTAGATGCTTTAATGTTCTACAATTATGTAACGCTTTCAAGACCGGAAAAAAACTCCCTCTAATACAGTTTTTCATGACACCACTTCACTGAATCTGCAAACCTATTGTCTCAACTCGGTAACAGAATCTCATACAAAGACTTTAAGAACTACTCACCACACAGTGACGTCAATGACAGGTAAATCTATATTTTCTGTCGGCATATTGATAAGAGAAACGAAGGAAACATGCATTCCATATCCAATCATGTAATAGCTCAAATATCAAGTCATAACACTCGTAAGCAAACAGCACATTTAGCTATCGTGGATAAAGATTATAAAGAATAAAAGCTTTTCGTCAAACACAAGTGAGCTTAGATCCCCAGCATAAAATCTGCAGATGCTTTTAAGACCGGAAAAAGGAGAAGATCTTTCTAAAAAAGACAAAAGCAGATACCCAATCTTGGAAAACTTAGCAAAAAGAAAGAGAAAGATGAACATGGAACAGAAAGGACAACTCTGACAAGAGAAATCTCGTAGGCAGCAACATAAGAAATCCTTATACAGAATCTTTATTCTTTTAATCGAACTGAAGAACTAAACCCTGTGATCCCTAATTGAGAAGATTCTTTTACCCCAAGGAAAGCAGATAAAACGAATCAAGAAAGAATACCTCTCTCGCGCAGGAAATGAGATCAACCGGACTAACACTGCTGGTTCACACGGAATAAGGCTTGTGCGATGGGCTTCGATGAGAATCACACAGCGGATTGCGAGACAGAGGCAAGAAGAAGAAAAGAAACCAAGAAGAAAGAATAGCCCCAGGAAGGGAGGGGCGTTAGATCGTCATGCCGACTCTTCTAAGCCATTCGCCTCTTGATCCTCGTCCAACGTCCGATTAACTTACGCCATATAACATCGAAATCTTCGACATGGAGGAGGGAGGGAGATACATAATTAAAAGAAAGAATTAAAGGGGGAAAAAAAGAAGAAATCGAATACAGGCTTGTGGAGTGGGTTTCCATGAGCGTAACACAGCACATTGCGAGAACAGAGGCAGGAAGAAGAAAAGCTTTACATCCAGGAGATAAGGAGCCCTCGATCTGCCTGTCAACTTTACTAAGCGATTCCCCTCCTAATCCTCGTCCAGTGTCCCATGACGTCGCACCAGATCGCATTGCAAGAATAAGGCAAGAAGAAGAAAGGAAACCAATCAGAGAAAGCTTCCAGGAAAGGAAGAATACCTCCGGGAGAGGAGTCGCCCTCGATCTGCACGCCAACTTCACGAACCGATTCCCCCCCCTAATCCTCCTCCAATGTCAGATCAACTCACACTAGGTCGCAGCGAAATCTTGGACATAGAAGCGGGAGAGAGGGAGGTCCACCGAAACCCTAGGAGGCAGAGAGCAGCGAAATCTTGGACATAGTGAGGGGCGAAAGAGATCATCCGAAACCCTAGATAGAGAGAGAGAGAGAGAGAGAGAGAGAGAGAGAGAGAGAGAGAGATCCACCGAGAGACGTATCGCAGCGAAATCTCGGACGGGGAGGGGAGGAGATCATGCGAAACCCTAGAGAGACAAGACGAAGAACCGGTCGATGAGTTCCTCTTCCTGCAAATTAATAAGAACCAAAGGAGCAAAGTGAAATTTTATAGTCTCTAATATATATATATATATATATATATATATATATATATATATATATATATATATATATATATGATGTAAGAAGAATGAATTTGTTGGCGATAAGAAGTTATGATTGGATTAATGTTTAAGTCTGAACTATAAGATTACATGGTTCAATTAATTTAGGATAAAATATATTAAAGATTTAGTGGGGTTCTGATCAAAATTATCAGATCCATTTATATTAGGAAATTTTAAACCATAATTTTGATGATAGAAAATTTATCTTTTGACTCTTTATTCTCTACTATATAATTTAGGAATTCAAAATAATAATCTAATAAAAAATAATAATAATCTAATTTATTTTTAATAGATCCATGATAGAAAGCTTTAATTGTTCAAGATATATTAGAATGTTCGAAGTATCATATTTATTCACAGCATATAAAGATACCTAAGATTTATTCTTAATTCATGATAATTTTTTATTTAGATTTTTAACATTAATTTTTCATAATATAATTAATTTTATTTTGCAATCAAAATATATATTAACATATTTTAATCATTTTTGGCACCTGAGGTTGGTGGGTGTCTCCATGTGAGCTGTTTTGAAGAAGCCAAAGAGGAATTATGCTGTGCAGAAGCTTCACAGAGGCATCTCCGTCGAACCTCTCAATTCAAAACAGCTCACCGTATTTATCTTTCGCATCGCTCACTGCATGCAAAGGACCAATCCACGCCACCGGACACAGAATTGGGGCCGTCACATCTCATCCGCACACTGATACTTCCGAAGGTTGACGCACCAAAACCAAGCATATCTCATCCATCATAACAAAACAATTAAAGAGACCACTGTTTGGAATGCTCGTCCTTTTCCTACACTCTGCCCCTATTTTTGTATTTTTAAATGCCCCAAAAAAAAATGATGTGATCATTTATAATTAAATTCAATATACTTTAATGGTTAAATATTAAAAAAAGGAGTCACGTCCTCACGACGATGGCGTTCGTGTAATTATCCTGTTGCAGAGGTCCATGGAGAAATCGCCGTCGGCAGAGGTCCCAATCGTTATCCCCCACGTCATCGTGATCTCCGATCCGACGGACGAGATCGTCCCTCTTCGCCCATCCGACGGTACCGGTTGATCTTCCAGACTCTTCCGTTGGATAGGACCGAGTTCTTTCTCCGGGACTGTTGGGTCCCACGAACGCCCAGTCCAATCGCGAGGCGGGTAGTCGAGTTGAGTTGGCAGCGAAACCGGTCGGGAAAAGTGCTGGTTCACCAACGGCTGAGATGGTTTCAGAAGACCGAGACGAACGGTTAGATTCATCTCGTGGCCCACTTAACCACGGTTACTTTTGAACCCCAGGCAAGGCTTAATATATTATAAAGAGGGCCAGAGGGGGACTGGCGGCGGTGTGGTTGGAGGTCTGGGAGGAGTACCGTAGAGGTCTTGGCGTCGCTAGCGCCGGGGTCACAGCGGTCGACCGTTCCTTTGATATCATCGAGCCGTCGGTGCCCGGCCCTCGCCCTGCCGCTGGGGTCGGACCAGACGGCCGGCGTCGCTCCCTCCAGATCTTCGCCGCCGTCGTAATCGCCTCGGTAGGGCTTGATCCCAGTCTACTTGATTTCGTTTCGGTGGATTCGTTCGATAGTTTTAGTTCTGTTCATATGTTCGCATCTCAAGCTTTTCCCCTTTTCCTTCGGTTTGACTTGGACTCGTATGGTTCCCTTGTCCTCAAAGCAAATAATGTTTGATCTAGTTGCTAATTGTAGATTTCATGCATACATGTTTGATCTTTGTATGCAAATCCATCTCTTTGGAGTTGATTTATTGGACGAACGGCACGTTGTTGTGCTCTTCCAAATTTAAAGGAACAAAAAATTATTGTTCTTTGTGATTTATGTAATTTTTAGTAATCGATGATTTATTCACTATAGAAATACATTTATTTTCATGTTAATTGCGCGAATCGAATTCCAGGAGTTAGTTCTTATCTAATACTACGAGCAAATGCAAAGTTCAATGCTCAAGGGGATTTAGCACACTAAGAATCATAGAGTCAGAGAAACTTGTAGGTTCAGATTTGATTTGCATGCTTGGATGCAGGTGATATTAGCTTTTGTGATCTCAAGGGGATTTATTGCATCAACAATAGTTAGTTCTTTTTTGTGTTCTTGTATGCAATTATTTCTGTGCATTATCCTGCAAGTGATTCACTCCTGTGTTTATCTTTCCCGTTCCGTCTTTATCTTGATTAGAGAAAAAAAGGGTACTGAATTCACCAGTGAATTGGTAGTCAATAAGTTCGAATTCTTAGCTAAAGTTCTGACAATGGGACTCCCTTGCAGCATTGGGTTCTTCACTTTCTAAATGGCTTTTGAAGCATAGAGGAATTGCTAGGCCTCCATGACTCCTACCAACTCTTCTTGATGCAAAGCTTGTGGTTTTCCTCCATTTCATGATTGTTAATGTGCATCTTCCCCTCTCCGTAACCGCGTCAGCCTCTGTGTTTGGCGTGCGCACGAAGAAGAGGAAGAAGACATCTCAGTTTGGCTTTCCTGGCCTCCTCATTAACCTTTGACGATACCTTGGTGATTTCCATGTCTTTTAATTTGGACAGCCCTGTTCAGACCCAGATGGCAGTTTCAGTCTTAAAACATACCACAAGTGGTGATTTATGTGGTAACAGAATTGGCGAAGGAAAACCGGTGGGGCGGCGTCGGGTGTTTATCCAGACCGAGACGGGCTGTGTGTTGGGTCTCGAGTTGGACCGCCAGGACAATGCCCACACCGTGAAGAGGAAGCTGCAGATTGCGCTCAATGTTCCCACTGAGGAGAGCTCTCTCACTTTTGGTGATCTTGTGTTAAAGAATGACCTCAGTGCCATCCGGGGCGATTCCCCGTTGCTTCTCTCGAGGAACTCGATGCACAGGAGTTCCTCGACCCCGTGCCTGTCCCCGAGCATAAAAGATCATCAACAGAGGGATTCCAGTGGGCCGATTGAGATATTGGGTTGCTCAAGCCGCTGTGACCGGATGAAACAGCTCGTCAAGGATGCCGTGAAGGCCATTAAGAGTGGTGTCGATCCCATTCCTGTTCACAATGGGCTCGGAGGTGCCTACTATTTCAGGAATAGCAATGGTGACAATGTTGCAATCGTCAAGCCAACGGACGAGGAACCATTTGCGCCTAACAATCCAAAAGGTTTCATTGGTAAAGCCCTTGGCCAGCCAGGTCTGAAAAGATCTGTACGTGTTGGTGAGACGGGCTTCAGGGAGGTTGCCGCATACCTTTTGGACTATGGAAACTTTGCAAATGTTCCTCCGACAGCCCTTGTAAAGATAACCCACTCGGTGTTCCATGTCAACGATGGAATGAATAATAACAGTGGAGCCAGGCACTGCAGCAGAAAGCAGCAGGTGATCAGCAAGATTGCTTCTTTCCAGCAGTTCATTCCTCATGATTTTGATGCCAGTGACCATGGCACATCGAGCTTCCCTGTCGCTGCGATACACAGAATTGGGATACTTGATATAAGAATTTTCAACACAGATAGGCATGCTGGAAACTTGTTGGTGAGGAAGCTTGAAAATGGGATTGGTAGGTTTGGGGGAAGGATGGAACTGATCCCTATAGATCATGGCCTCTGCCTGCCGGAGAGCTTGGAGGATCCCTATTTTGAGTGGATCCACTGGCCACAGGCATCAGTACCATTTTCCAAGGATGAGCTAGAATATATTGCCACTCTTGATCCGATGAAAGATTCTGACATGCTTCGGATGGAATTGCCAATGATCCGAGAAGCCTGCCTCAGAGTCTTGGTCTTGTGCACAATTTTCCTCAAGGAAGCAGCAGCTTTTGGGCTTTGCCTAGCGGAGATCGGTGAGATGATGAGCAGAGAGTTCAGGGGAATGGAAGAAGAACCTAGTGAGCTGGAGGGCATATGCATCGAGGCAATGAGGTTAGCAGCAGAAAGAGAGGGGTTTTGTCCAAAACCTGTGTTAGAGGAGGAAGAAGATTTCCAGTTTCAGATGGAATGCAATGAGGATGATCAGCATGTGATGTATAATTCATTGCATTCGTTCGACTTTGGACTGAATGGAGGATGCCCCAGAAGCCTTCTGTCAAGGTTGGAGGAGAGCATGGAGGAAGAAGAGGAAAATGATGAGGAGAACAAAGAGAGCAGTGTCACCGGCTTCCCACATGTTTGTGAGAAACTTCTGTATGTTTCCGAGCTTTCGGCATCACTGAAAGGTGTCAGCATCACTGGAAAGACTCGGAGGAACCAGGTTGGAACACAGAACAGGAATACTTATAGTACCGGTAAGGCATACAATAGGGATGGTGGAGGCATTCAATCTGTGAATAGTAGGAGTGCTGATGAAACACTTCCTTCAAGCGTGAGTTTTGTGAGGCTGGCAGACATGGATGAAGAGGAATGGGCAGTTTTTCTTGAGAATTTCCAGGAGTTGTTGCCCAATGCATTCCAGCATCGGAAGTGTTTGACCACAGGTCAAAGGCAGATGCAGAGACTGGGCACTTCTTGCCAGTTTTGAGTAGGAGATGAAATGGAGACAGGATAGAGTGGATCGGTAGTTTGATTCCAGTTTGTTGTTTGCGCTGCCCTTTCATGTAGGTGTGAAGCATGAAGCAGGATTAGAATAACATCATGCAGATCGGCTAGGGAGGAGGAAGTGATCTTGTATATCTTGGGTTGTAGTTGCTTGAAATAAAACATTAGGGAAGTTGTGTACATTTGTTAGACAGGAATCATGGGTAGGTCGGAGTTGCTTGAAATAAAATTTTAGAAAATTCATGTATATTCTTTGGACAAAAGATGTTAGTTCTTCATTATCTTTCACTTTCTCTGCATGTCGATACTGGCTTTGGATCAGGTGACTGTGAAGTGGTTGTCATTTAGTTTGAATTATTGTCTGTTTAACCAATCTTCCAATCGGTGGATTAATGTGAAGCCTATGTTTTCTTTTCTTTACATGGATTGTTTTTTTTTTTTTTTTTTAATGAGAGCTCAACCATTCTATGTCTCTTTATCCTGTTGTGAAACTTGTGGTGGTTGCAGGTAATGAACTGGAGGTGATTGAGATTATTTATTGGATCATATCTTATGATAACGAGAATATGTTTGGAGATTTTGATGCAAAGATCTTTCCAGGAAGTCATTATTTTCATGCTAAATTCACTCCACAAGATACTAATGGCTTTAAACTTTTATTGATGCTATCTGTTTGTGATTCTTAGTAGGATAGGTCATGTAACCTAAAACCCTGATGTGGCTACAATTCTCTGAACAAAGCGGCTAGCTGTTCAACCTTGCAGGATTCGGGTTACGACAGTGGGGATTACAACACCCTACTTAAATGTATTCAGCTGTCCACCTAATTTGCAAGTTCTTGCACAAAGCCTAGCTAGCATGTCTCAAATGTGACCTTTTCACCACCATTGGGCAAAGATTTATGCCAGTGGAGGCAGGTGGAAACTTGATCTGAAAAATCTAACAGAGAGCGACAAAATCTCTGCTGTCTGCCAGTCTCCCTTATCCAAAATTATGGGCAACTCTGGTTCTGAAACAGAGCCAGAGATCAGTGCAGAACACAGATGAAGATGATGATGGGAAATGGGAAAACCAGGGGGCCAGTAGGTTGGTACAGCCCACTGGAAATCCGAAGGGCAATCAATGAAACAGCCGAAGTTTTGACGATCCAGACTCTTAACCACACAATTATTCTGATGGTGAGAAGTATGTCTGCAGGCTGCAAGTCACTCTCCTGAGATAATCTACTGTGTAGTTGATGCTAATCTCTCTCTCTCTCTCTCTCTCTCAAAAATCAGAATATAAATAATCAAAAGCAAACAGTGAAATTGAAAAAAATTCTTGTCGATATACGTAGAATGCAAAGACTGCAATAAACAAGACAAGGATAGCCGAGAAAAAAAAAACTTACCGTCTCCATCTTGGGACCTGCACCTGAGGATTCCTCCGTTGAAGCAGTCATCTCCGTGCTCTTGTCGCTGGCAGGCACATCTGCAGCTAACTTCTCTACCTAATTACATGTAAATTTCCGTTCAGCATTTATTAAAGAGGCTTCAGTCCCAACAAAAACACACTGAAATCATGTGATCGGAATAGTTATGGCATTTTCAAGAACATGTAGCCCCACAACAGACACACTGTTCTGCAAAATTAACATGCATCTTCATACATAATGTGTTCATCTCTAATTTATACAGACATTGGATACATGCTGGCAAACTACATCATGAAAATATACAAGTCTAACAAAAACGCATATTCCACACACAATCATCAACAAAACCCTAGTTTTCTTAATAGTTGACAAAAAAAAATCAGTGGCCAGAGTGTTTCTCAGTCCCTACTAGAATGAAAAGATCAATGTTTACACAGATTTTGGAGAACCAATAACCCCCACCTGAAAATCTGTAGCTGAAGACTCTGTCAATGCATCTATAGATGATTTTGGAAACCCAAGTTCAGTTCCATTCTGAGGTCCCTTGTAACTCTTAGGAATGTGGGCATCGCCCTTTCTTTTACACTTCTCAAGCAGAACTTTGTTCTTTTTCGTTAAGGCAGATATCTGCAAGCAGAAGATGTACATGATTTTAGAAGAGCAAAGCTAGAAGTTCTCCAAGAGAAACCTAAAAAATAATACATATTCTAGGTGAATCAACTGCAAATTGTTGTGCTAAAAAAAAATTTCACAGCATGTCCAAGGTAAGAACATAATTGAACATAAGCGCCACGATCACTCTATCATATACATTTTTTCAAACAGTGAAATTTGTTTGGATGCAATGAAAAAAATTTGGGGTTGCAGATGGCAAACAGAGCTATAGCATTGAATTTACATAGCGACTTAGAGACTAATGACCAACATAATTATCAGCACATGCTATTTGGTAATTTGTTTTTTGCCCATAGGATCTCGATTATTGTTTCCTCAACATTCTTAATCATGGCACCTGTTTTTTTTCTTTTGCCACCACCTCGTATCATTCTAGAGACTTCAACAAATTTCTCATTCTTGGACTTTCTCAAGAAAGGTGTCATACCTATTACCTTCGTCGCAAATCCTTTACCTCTCTTTGGACCATATTCTAAAGTTGACCACCTGTATCTTTCCTCGAGTGGAACCAATCATGGAGATCTTTGTCCAACAGACATTACCTTCTCGATCTAGGACTTAAGATGATGTCTCAGCTTCAAATAAGATGCATGTTAACATGTTGTCAAATCCGACATAATAGTAGTAGTACCAAGCATGTCAGAAAATGATGATACATCACTAGGAAACATATTGAAGGATACAAGGAGCACAGATATTAAGAAGCAGTCCAAAGATCAGGTTGAGCTTAGATCAAAGTTCTAACATAATCTGTTCACTGGACTGATCTTTTGTTTATGAATAGTGTTAAAACAGGGTAAAAGACAAAAGATTAAAATAAAAGAAGGATGCGAATTGGGAGTTTGGGACAAGAAAGGGCCATTCTGTTAAAGGTCATCTCAAGAATTAGAATGAATAAGATTTCATAGCAGCGTCACAATGTGGAAAAGTAGACATAACTGTGAGTCTTCAATAGTTTGAAGCACTTAGTTCAAATATGTATACTTATTGCTAAATATCATCGACCATTCCAAATGAAATAATAACCTGTAGAAATAATCAAATCAAGCATGTCCTTAACCTCAGATGCAAATGGTAACCATATCAGAAACATTAATTAAACTTATTTGCTTGATGATTTAATGTTGAACAGAACAGCGAACAACAAAAGAAGAAAAGACACATACCTGAAACTGAAGACGTTCTCTTTCCAGGGCTAGTTTCATGACCAGATCACTAATAATTTTTGTCCTAATACCAATGTCTTTAGCGGTGGCTATTTTTGCACCCTCGGTTTGGTGCAATGATGTCTCTAAATATTCCAACCTTCCTCTTAGGCAACCCAGCTCTTCATTTAGTTCTAAATTGGTTTCAGTTAATAGAGTGCACTTAGATTCAGCATTCTCAGCCCTGCTTTCGGCTTTTGAAACCTTTGCTTTAAGATCCTCGATCATACTTTGCATATCAGTAATTGCAGCATATAACACATTCTGCTGCTCTTCAAGTGCTTCAGCAGATGCCTTTGCATGCTCCAACTGAGTGTTTGATTCCTTGTATCTCCTCTCTAAAAGGCTTCTTTTTTCAGGTTCACTATTTCGAAGAAAAACAATCTCTTCATTTAAAGCAATATTAGATTTTCTCGATTCAGTATACTTGGCTTCTGCACTTTCAGCCTTGCTTTCAGCTCTCAAAACATTAGCTTTGAGACCCTCCATTACATTTTCCATCTGATAGAGATCAGACTGCAGTGTACTCTGTTGTTGCTGACTGGTTTCTGCAGAAGTCTTTGCCAGCTGCAACTGGACGTTAGACTCCCTAAGCTGCTCCTCAAGTGCAATCACCTTTTCCCTCAGAGACAAAATTTCAGCACTGGTCAGTATGCCTTTTTCTTCAGCTTCCATAACACTTGCTTTTAGACCTTTTTCCTTTGATGAAAGCATATCATTCAATTCTGCATGACTAGATGTCAGCCTCTCTCTGGCAGCTTCTTCAGCAGGTAATTGCATCATATTTTCCTCAAGATTAAATCTCATTTCATGTTCTCGATGCAGCGAACTGTTCAGATTAAGCTGAACAAGCTGAAGTTTTCCAGCCAGTTCTCTTGCAATACCCTGAAGTAGCTCTGCAGAGTTCTCAGCCTCAAATGCTCTCTCCAAACATATCTCCATCAACTCTTCCATGCAGTATAGCTCTCTTTCTGTGTAATGCAGTTTTATCTTAAGATCCTCTTCATTTGATCTATATTCTGAAAGTTTCTTTTCAAGATCCAATTCTCTGGCCAATGATTTTTCCAACATTTGTAAGACATGCCTTTGTTGATCAACAGTCTGTGGTTTCTTGATGGATGTCAAATGATCATTCTCAAGTTCCTCATTCTCATCAGACCCTAAGTAAATGAATACACATCATGTAAGTATGCACAAACAGAAACAAAAAAGCAATGTAATAAACTGATGGACAACTTACTGGTCTCATTATGAAACAAAGCTAGAGTTCTTCCAAACTTGGATGACTGTTCCCGAATGTCAGCAACTGAGTCTTGTAGCTTCTTCACTGATTCTTCAGCATCATGTAACTTTTCTTCTACTGTAGCAGTACAGTCTTCCATGTGCTCACCCTGACAAAAATTTTGGCGGGCCTCCATGATTTCAATTTGTAGCAAGGACATGAAGCTTTGTAATTCATTGACCTCCATGTCTAAAATTCCAGATAGGATATCAGACTCGAAGGCCTTCATAACAGATTCATCTGAGATGTCCTCATATCCCATGTTCACACTTTCAATGTCATGCGCTCTGTCGGCCACTTGCATCAAGAGCATCTCCAAGTTCAGTAGCTTCTCAGAAGAATACGCCACATCAAGTTCTACTCTTGTTAGAGCCTCAGCTCCATTTCCTCCATTTATTCTATCTTCACTTAATGCTTCATCCTCTTGTAAACAGTTGCCATCATGATCATCAATAGCCATATTCTGATTATCCTTTTTCTACAGAAAAATAACCTGTAGATCTAATTAGCCTTTAATGAATACAGAAAAGAAAAAGGAAACAGATCATGAACCTCAACAAGCATCCAACCAATGTAGAAGGATTATCATTTTATAATAGTTATTTTAATGACATCAACTTATCTCCATCACATGAAACTACATCATAATGGATGAGTATTTCCACACAAAAAAAAAAAACAAAGTAAGCTCCATTTACTTGCAGAAATAAATTAAACATGGTTGTAATGATATACTATTCTATACTTGGTATCAATTAATAATAAATTCGATTATAGAATTCAATCAATAATATGAAGACCAAAAGATAAATACAAAGGAAGTTTCATTCTTAGAATTGTTGTGGTAATTCACAGTATTCATGTCTCACCAGATAGGTTAAAATTAAACAACAAACAAGGACAGTAAGTATACTGATTTAGAAATCTAGAAGGATGCTGCAGCACTTGGATTTAGCAGGGCTGAGTGAGATGAGACAATTCAGAAAGGTTGCCACACGAGGGGATGAAAATAGGTTATCTAATATACTGAGTCTGGACCTTTTATGTATTGTCACATTTACTAAATTTGATTAAACATATGGTCATGCAATACTGGCTCCTCTCGTTTCCCAAATCAAAATCAAGGCCATACATGCCTTAGGGACTGAAATTGGATCCGGACAATAACTGGAAAATCATACAAGGCAGAACTACAAAAGGAAGCAATGCTGGCTCCTCTCATTTCCCAAATCAAAATTAAGACGATACATGTCTTAGGGACAGAAACTGGCTCAGGACAACAACTAGAGAATCATATAAAGCAGAACTACAAAAGGAATAAAGAAGAAAACCATAATTTTTGGAGCTTAAAATTAATAGGGGCAGTCTGATGCTTAGAGCAGCACATCTGTAAAATTCTCTCTAGGTTATTTAACCAGGCACAAACATGTTAACGGAGTCAGGTTTGAAGTATTCATTTACCTTTGGGCTGCAATACAATCCACTATAGCTATTGACATGCAATACAATGTCATGGCCTTTGACAAGCTTAAAACAATCAGATGATCCTAAAACAACTGCTCAGGAGTGATTTACGGACTCAGATCTTTTTCTATACTGCACGACAAAACTCAATCAACTTCTGTCAATATCAGTGTTAAAAAATGTGAGGCAAATGAACCCAAGGTAAGTTTTATAAAATCAATTGACATACATTAATCACACAATCTCTAAAAATTATCTTAGTAACTAGAATTTATGGAAGTATTATAATGGTGATTGGAAGGTTCATTGATTCTAAATACGCTTCAACACTGAAAATTATTCTATATAGACTTAAGTTGAACAATAATATAAGGACCACGATCATACAGTAGTGTCAAGAACCTGAGACTGATGAATGAAGATCAGCAACTGACATGACTGCCAAAAATAACAGAAAATTTTCATTGACATGAAATTATTCTATACACCTGCCTTAATCCCATTTACCATGATGTGGAACAATTTGGGAAATAAATGCAAATGTTTCTTTTATGAAGATTTCTTAAGTGAGTCAAAATAACGGTCAACATTTTGAAAAAATATTCTAAATCGAAAGTCACATAAACAAATAGATATTTTGGAGTCTTACAAGCATTGTCATAAACAACTCAGTTTAGACCTTGGGACAAATTTTATAAGGTAACAAATCACAATTGACTGGTACTCATCCACAGAAAAAGACAATTTACACTGATCTAATGAGGCCTTCCTTCATCCAAGGAAGGGATTAAAAGCATTCAGGGCCTTTTCGTGATACAGATGATAAGTTTTGGATCATTGAATCATAAACTTCTGGCAAAACTGGACCCAAAAATGGTAGATTATCCTGTTACTGCTTGTCAATACTAACAGAATTGTTTAGAAAGACTAACCTATATAAATATCTTCAAAGAAATAGTCTCAACTAACATATTACTTGAAGCATGAAATTGTAGGTTTATCATTCCACAATTTAGGAGACAATGTAGATCGAACGTCCTGAGGAAACACAGATTCTGAGAAAAGCAGTTGGCAGGGTCTTACTTTATTACTAGATGTTGGATCTAGTTTATGAAAAAAAGAAAAAGAACAAATGGAAAAGAAAAATAAAGTTGGCTTTGATGGCTAACTTTTATGCACTTCTTTCAACAGATAAATCACATGTCCTCTTCCAACATGAACAACGACCCCTACAGTGATCATCCTGCCCTCGGATTTAGCACCTAGGTCATACTGCATTTAAGATTTCTTCCGAATCCACACCGGCTGTTTTATCTCCGACATCAGAAGACTTTTCTTGTGAACCATGAAGAGAAGCGTTAAATCAAAGATTTACGCCCTCAAGAACAGTTGATATCTGTCAATCATCTTAAATCTTGGGACCGAAACGGCTCGAGATACTTCGGCAACACGAAGCATCAATGCATCTATTCGCAAGGTTAAGGCAATTTATCACAGAACGAACAAGCAAAGTTGAACCCTCAGACGAGCTTCGGATCTAAAGCAAACCATAAGAACAGCTGGAAACGTTAGAGGACTTACGACAACAATTCCGGTAGGGAGAAGAAAACGGATCGATCCGAGCCCCGATGTTTTCTATCGATCGAAAGGACCTGAATGTTAGGGTTTCCGGTGGGAATGCCGAGGCGGAGGGACGACGAGACAGACGCGGTGGTTCGACGCTCCTTTGGTCACCGCTGCCTCCAACGGAAGCGAGAGAGAGAGAGAGAGAAGGGTAAAGGCGTACGAATTGGGCCGGGTTTGAGGTTACAAAGCGGACTAATAGGTTGGGTCAAGTTGGGCCATGGGCCCAATCCTGGTCAGATTTGAGCCGGGAAATTTCGCAGATGTCCTATAAAACAGGTGCACGAATCATAAAGCAACATTGATGGTTCCTAAAACAACACATGGATAGATATCATTTCCTACGGTGAGCATAAGGTACGCAAACAACATTTGTCATTTGAATCTGTTCTTCCTCGCTTCCGAGTTGCTGCGAGGATCGCACGCCTGTTTGCTTCTCGCCTCCTCCACCTCGTAGAATTCCTCGTGGGAGTAGGAAGAAGAACACTGGGCATGACCCTCCTTCCCATTTCCGTCCATGTTGTCACCGACGTCGTTGCACTTGGAACCATCCACGCCGCTGCCGATGAATCCGGTGGAAGCATCAGAGGCCATGGAGTCATCGTCACTGTCCTCGCTATCGTAACCTTTGTGCTCATCATCATCATCATCATCCCCGCCAGTGAACTCCACCTCGCTATCATCATCGTCGTCGTCGTCGTCGCCGCCATCATGATGCGTAGGCGAAGAAAGATACTTGGTCCACCCAGAATCGCAGCTGCTAAGTTCTTCTGCGTCATCTCCGGTGAGTTGGGAAGTATTCATGACTACGGCTACAGAAGAGGAAGACAAGACACCAACAGTGGATGGCTCCATCTTCTTATATAGGCAGGGAAAGAGAAAGCTCACTCAAAACCAGCTTCATCGAATACCTGAAGACCGAACTCATCTTTGAATCATCCGACAGTTTTATCAGTAGAAGAACAGCTTTACAGAAAGAGACAAATCAGCCATCACACAGCACAGCAGAAGCAGAAGAGATGAATGCACAGAAGCATGTAAAGTTACATCTGTCGTCAGCTCTTTCTGCCTCGCTTATCATACTCTCAGACAGGCAGCCAATGCTCACCAGCATTGCTTCTCACGCTTGCCTTTGTTTAATGCATCCCATATGGAATTCAGGGATTGCATTAGGTTTGTGAAGGTGTGATCGTCAAAAAGGTCTCTTGCATCAGACCTCACATCTGCTTGTCTTCCTAGCTTTTGTGGAAAAACAAAGACAATGTGGAGAACAATGCAGAGAGAGAGAGGGATTATGGATGCGACGTCAGCATGAGCAGTCTGCTATTGTTCATGTTGATTGAGTTAGGTATGCCAAAACCCTAATAGTTTATGGGTTCTACTACTTGTTGTCGACACAACTGAGCTAGTGAACATAATTGGATAGACTCGGAAGCAGAAGAACACATGTCAAAGTTACTGTAGGTGTGACATGCCCCCTGAAACTGGGGTACCCTCCCAATGGGTTGTCTGAGAAAGGTGGACCATTGGCCGAAAGCTGGCTTCTTGATACTAATTACCCTATCATGCTCAAGTTAGGCAGCTCACTGTCAGTATTATTTCTTTTCTGCTAAATGTTTTGGAGCATGTGACTCTTGATCATTGCAGTCTCTGTGTGTGTGTGTGTGTGAGAGAGAGAGAGAGAGAGAGAAGAGAGAGAGAGAGAGAGAGAGAGAGAGAGAGAGAGAG